GCCGCTGGTCGGCTGCGGCGCTGTCTTAGTGCGTAAATTGCAGTAGATCTCGCTCCGTCAGAGGGTCTGGTGGTTGCGTTGTCGCCGGTTGACGCCACTTGGCGGCTGCGGCGCTGCGGCGCTGTCTTTTTGTAAATTGCAGTAGATCTCGCTCTCTTAGAGGGTCTGGTGGTTGTGTTGTCGCCGGTTGTCGCCGCGTGGCGGCTAGTGGTCAGAAATAAAGATTTCTAGAGAAAAGTTTCACTGCTTGAGTAGCGCATCTCAGTTCCGTAGCCCTATATTTGGGACCTGTCCAGATTGAACTTTAGATCAAGGGCATCTTTAGGTCACTGTTTGTCAGAATTCTACAACACATCAGTCTGTTTTAAGCTGTGGAGAGTGCTTGGTGGGTGGGCTTCTTCTCTTAAAGCTTCTGCTTGAAAAAAAAGAGAAAAGTAGTCAGATTTGTCTTCAGAAATAGAGATTTCTAGGGAAAAGTGGTCAGAAGTAGAGATTTCTAGAGAAAAGTGTTCAGATGTAGTGGTTTCTAGAGGAAAATGTCAGAAGTAGAGATTTGTATTCAGGAAAACGCCACTTGGCGGCTGCGGCGCAAATGATGTGGTGACAGTGACAAACAAAATCTTTGGTCTTCACTTTTACAGACGGTTATGACGTCTTTTGCATGTAATACTCATGACGACGCCCAGGTTCACGAACACGACCTGCTTTCGTCTGCGCGATGAAAAAGAGCTTGGCTATAGGGTTTTACGTCGGCAGAGCGATGGGGCTTTACTTCGGCTAGTTGTGGCTGTACACACATGTCTGCACAATACCTCGTACATCCGCCGTGCACATTACTCTCCCACACCTCTCTCCCACCCCTCCGTTATGTAATTCTGATATAACTAGTGACAAGGCCATGTTGTAGAAGCTATTGAGACTCTGACGGCTTTGTGCTTTAGAATCTTAAGATTCGTAAAGACTCATATGTGGGGTTATCCGGTCCTTTAATTTGCTTGCGTGTCAAGTCCCTCTTTCCGACGAAGCAGCGCAAGAATTGTGTGAAAGCCAGCCAACCCAAGCTGATGGCCAAAGCTGGAACCTATATATATATATATATAGATTCAGATTCAAGTAGCTAAATTTCTTTGGCCCATCGTCAGGCACAGCACTTTGCTGGTGCTTTTTGTGGAACCTGTACCAACCCAGCACTCGACACCCCAACCACGAAGTGACCACGCTGCGAGATCTCGCGACTCCTGGAAGGCCTCCTCCGGTCCAGTTTTTCCGGCCATGATTGAGTGGTCATCTCGCAAGCCATCCAATAAGCCAGGCCTTGACCCCCTCAATCGACGTCCTGCGGCGGCGATGTCCACGCGCACCCTCAAGTCTCACCCGCTTCAGGTCCCAGATTTTTCTATTTTTTTCTCGACATATAAGTTGTCTCTAGCCTGGACCCAGAGGCTCACCGAACCGGTACTCAAAAGGGTACTTACTGAACCCCGCTCAGTGAATCCTGGCACTAGCTGCTTCCTCCTGTACCTGCTCACACCGCAAAAGAAGGTTCAGGTTGGAAGCCGCGGCCAGCCACCTCAAACAGGATGGACTTCACTTTCACCTATAAGAGCTGCGTTGGGCTCATAGCCTGAATATGGAGCAGGCTTTTCACTATGCCAAAGAGGGGTCTGCGACGGTTTGATATGTCTCTACTTTACATAATGTGAGTGACTGCACATGTTCTCCGCGTGATGCGGTTCTAGAGCAGTTTTTGAGCTGGAATGGGAGTTGCCCTGTGCGCGCAAAATTTGCCAGTTACTGTAGCAGGCATTTCTGGGCAAGAATTGAACATGACGTTATTTGCGGAAGACTTGTGGTGCAGGAAGTTGATGAAGAGATCGACCAGGAGGCATTGCGTTGTTTTGGAACTGAGTGATTGCTGCTGAACCAAACAGTTTTGCAGGATGATAGATCCGAAGAGGCAGTGCTCGTATGACTCGTATGATTTCTGGTGTCACAATTCTGTAGTGCTTGCCCTCTATTTTGTGCAGGAAAGCCGTCCAAATAGTGCCAGCAACCATGGTCTTGATCAGGCAGCTTTTGGTGTGCCAAGCATTCCTCAAAATATCGGAGGCAAACATGTCAGAGCTTTAGCTTCGCGGTCTGAAAAGTACAACTCCACAAGACACACTCTAGCCATCAAGCAAGTGGTTGCAAAGGTACCTCGAAATCTGTGGACTCAAATGCTTTCCCCAACCCTAGTTTTAGAGGCATACTGATTCTCAATGTGGCGTTTCCAATGTAGCATTCTGGGATGGGTGGGGCTATTCTTTTTTGAATGCATGTGTGGGAGGGGAGATTTTGATGGGACTTGGAACTGCGGTCTGAGAAAGAAATACCCGAGGGATTGTTGTTTTTGGTTCGCGGCTGATACGCTGCCCTTGCGCCTGTCACGTACGTCGTGGTTCGGTTGTCCGGTGGGGTGGAGTGGGGTGGGTGGGGGTGGGGGTGGGGGGTACTGACGTGCTTGTAGGGATGTGAGTATGCAGTTATACGGTTACACATACCTCACTGTGTTTCCTTTGTGTATTACAACGCAAACTTCTTTCCATTTCAGTTGCTTCTATGTAACATCCAAATCTACTGTCAATACCAAACAATCAGGTAATGACCTTCAAGTCGAAGGACACTCACGTTTCTTCATATTTTTAAGTGAAAGACACTTGCGTGTTGAGTTGCAAAGTGTTGCGAATTAAGAACAACTATCATGAAAAAACTCTTGCCTGAACTATCATCAGAACTTCAAGAACACTTTTCCGAACATTTTTATCACACTCCTATATAACAAAAATGAGCGTATCGCTGTAGGGAAACGCTCGACACAAGCATCTTCCTTGGAACAACGTGGGAAATTTGATGCACCGGCAAAGACATATCTAAAACACATATATTTGTAAATACCAACAAACATCTACAGACAGGCAAACAACCAATCAAAAACGAGCATACAGTTGCAGGGCGGCGTATCACACACGTCCCTTCTATTCTCACTGCTTCGCGGCGAAGACTGCCCGCACGGATACTTGTGCTGCCTGAGCTGGGAAAGAACGATACTACCGTGAGGAAAAGATGGTTATGGAAACAACGAGGTGCAAGATATCGACTACGCTGGTACCTATCTTAGGCGTGTTGTACTCAATCAGCCTCAATAGGGAAATCCGCAAGTTCAAACACGCACACGCTTTCAATGACGCAACTCCATTCGGGCAGCAAAACTCACATTGTCAATAGTTTTCTCGTTTCTCTTTCGGGAAGGCCGCAATGGCAAGCACACACGATGTCAATTTTATGATGCATTCTCACTCGGGAGCCTAACCAACATCACCAATGATTTGCTCGTTTTTCCATCGTTTTTTTTTTTTGAAAAACCTCAAAAGCAGGGTATTCTAGAGCAAAATCATCCCCCGCAAGCTAAAGCTAAAGCGATTTACGCGAGCTGAGACAACGCCTCACTCAGCACCTTCGGTGCGGGCGGATCTTTGTCCGAGTGTCCCTACACTTGCTCCACCACGTGGGATTTATCTTTTGGGCGTCGAATCATCATTCCTGCTCATTCCTGCCGTTCTGATTTGAGCCGGTGGGCTTGGGCTGCCCACGACTGATACTAGGTACATACTGATGGCAGTAAAGAGACTTTGCCCGTTTCCTGCTGGAGACTGCAAACGCCTTGTCTCCCCAATCATGCATATATTATCGATGTTCAATCACCTTTACTTGTACAATCACCTCCTTGCAGCTCTGGACTGTGATGCTTGTAGAACCAAACAGTCACCCATCACAAACAGACAAATTGACCATGATGTGGGACGACACTACTCCACGCAAGTTTTTGGAAGTTTGTGCTAGCCAGCTAGTGGAACACTGAAAGCTCAGAGCCATTGTCCAAAAAGTTACAGACAGTCAACAGTTAAACGCAGCTCGGAAAGTCTACAGCTGTGCGGATTCAGACGCTCATGATTCCTTTGATTGATTCGATCCGTAGGATTGGTGAGCTTGGCAGGATACGCGGGGAGTGCTGCACCTTATGAACGCAGCCAATCAGCAGCAGCCATGACCCCAGACTACAATGCCATTTGCCTCAAGAAACACAATGTGGCCACGATCATTCTAGGCTGTCTTGGCTCCGCCAATCTTTGACGAGCCACTTTGAACACAGGGTGCCTTGTGCACGAATTTGCTAGCAACAGCAAAGTGCAATGCATTGTAGACTTTGTTCTTGTTGTTAAATGACCCTGATGTTGGCCATTGTGCTTGCTCAAGCTAACGAGACCTGGCCACGCTACTTGTTCAAGGCGGGTTGATGTGTGATGGGTCTTAAGCTCCCAAATCATGAAAGCCGGCCGGCCTTAGGCTAGGCGAAAGTGAAGGAAGCCGAGAATTGGGTCTTTGGGCAGAGTGTGTGCAATATATATATATAATGCTTTCTTGCTCTAATTTGGTTCATTCCGGTGGTGGAGGGAGGTTAAATGATGCCGATAGTGCAAGTTGTGCATATTGCATTTCCAGCATACTTGGAAGGTCATCAACAAAGAAAGATCAGTTGGTAAGAAGATGTGAGAAGTGAAATGGACATCCCTCTGCGTATCATGGTGATATTTGATGCCAGATGTTCCTCAGTCTCTTGATGCTATGGAAGTGACTGAATGCATCAACACTGTGATTTTGATGCGTGAGGGGATATTGACTATATGTATATATATATATACACATCTAATCTTAGTCCCTGTTGAACAAAACTTGAACAACAAGAGGAGCACAAAGACAAAGTCCTTTTTGGCAGGCATTGGTCGATAACAACAGCAAGTAATTGTTTTGGTCTGACAAACGAGCATCTTGTCAAGGGAACAGATGTGGAGTTACTGTTGCTTGGGAAGCGTGCCAGACATGAGCGAGCCAGATGTGAGCCAGCTACCCTGCGCAGTTGCGACCTCAACACTGTACCTTGCAGACTGTTGTAAACTTACTGTAGTGCAGCCGGACAAGTTGGTGCAATGCAGCCTGAGGATGAGCTTGTGCCTTTGCAAAGTCCCGAATATTTGGTTTGAAGCTCAGACATTTGTCATCAAGTACACCCCCCACCCTATTGTGCAGTGAGTCAGGTATTGGTAGGTAGGCAAGATCGGAGATAATGCACTCAATTCGCTCTGAGGCGAATCCAACTGGTCGGGAATTTGCAGCTGATTGTACAGACGAGATGTTAGGTCATTCAGAGTCAATCAAAAGAATTTGGATTGAACATTCAAATGTCGAGCTTTTATTTGCCTTTGATGCAAAGACTTTCGCAGTGGCCTTGGTCAGGAGGGACAATGGCAACATTCCCCAAATCCAGTTCAGCCCCGCCCTCTTGGTCCATCGCACCCCGACTATCCAGAGATTTTGAAAACACATCAAAAAACAAGATTGAGGCTCCAACACTGCGCAAGAAGACTAGGAGGACTGAACACGGAGACAGGCAGAATGGCTTGGAACGACAGTTCAAGTGGAAAACTTGTGGGAACTTGTCCAAGTGGAGGAGTCCGTTGAGGTGTCCACCTCCTTGGAATAAGCCATTGACAGATAAGTGGGGCTTTCCGAAGTCCCTCGAAAGCCTTCCACCAGTTTGAACCTCAGTCTCCTTATGTTTCCTTGTCAGAACAATGATGACAGCATGACAAGACTATTCACCAAGGCTGAACCTTGGGATGTAAGGCCGGAAAACCTGCACGAGCGCATGCCATGATGCATTGCATGCAGTTCGCAGGCATCATCTTCAAGGCATGCCAAATGATGTCATGCCCAAGGACTCCTGCACCAAGTCTGGTTGCACTTCTTCTATAGCATACTTTGCTCCACAAAATCTGTGCACAGAGTGCTTCAGCATCTAGCCCAGCATAGAAACCAGTCACACATAGCGCGTGCCTAACCCAACAAATTTTCAAGTATCTCTACACCAAATCAAACATGTAACATGTGTATATATATATATATATTATAGAGGGCATTAACCCTGAAAATAACAGCAAAATAAGACGAATTCTTTGGGCCTGTCAGCCAAATCTGTTGAGCTACAGACTCTTGTCCAAGTATGCCGCAGCCATCGTCCGCTTTTCTCAAGTGCTTTTACCAGTCAGATGGACAGTCTTTCCAAAACGATTAACCATATATAAGTTAAGTTATAATAAGTGTGCAGCTCTCCGGGTGACTGAGGTTGGTTGTTGGTTTGACAAGCGAATAAGGATAGAACTCGAGAGCCTCTGTCGGGAGCCCTCGTTCTTTAAACTGCCTGCAAACAGGAACGAAGAGAAACCGAAGGATCCCCCAAGAGGTTCGCTATCAGTTTCAGCTTTGCAGGCTGCGGGGCTGGTTTGACTTTGCAGAGCTGGGGAGTGACGGTCTGCGGGAGATACTGGTTCAATGGGCTGATGATAATACGGAGTTCAATTCCACTTCCTTGAGGGTGCTTGCAATTCAAGTTGACACGAGATGACTTGCCGTTGCTCAATGACAGATTGCTGATGTAGAGGGCCAGCCGTGTATAGAGCCCAGTAGCGACTCTGATTGAGCATGTTTGTGCGGAAGCTGTGCTCCCAATAAACTTATTGGCCACCTAAGCCCAGCAAAGCGCTTTCTACCTAGTTGCGAGAGAGGGAGTATTGAAGCCAATGTTCTCGATGGCTCATTGTTTTGCAGTCGTAGATGTGCTGGTGTTTCTCGGAAGCTGCGCCCCCACGAACTTCAGTTCTGGATGCCGAAGAATGCTGAAAAGAATAACTGCCCAACCAACTGCTATTATTATACTTATTATACCCTAGAATGCGGAAGGCGCTTTCATGGCCTTGACTGTGCCAGATTTCATGATTTTTTGTCGCCGTCGCTTTCTTTGCGATTCAGCACACTTGTGCGCTGCATCATTTGTCGAGGAGCAACGGGCTTACTTCTCCAAGCCGCAATCCACAGTAGAACTTCAAGCTGAGTTGACCAAGAACCCATCGTGCCACTCCCAGAAACACAAGATTGCAATGACAATCTGCGATTTGTGAGGCAACTACCACGACGTTTGGAATAGACTTAATCTCAATCAACATGTATACTAGCCATAGTGTGAATGTTCTTGGTTGGCTGGGCTTATTGTGGTGTGGGTGCATTGTGTAGAATTGCATACGGAGGACAGCCTCTAAATCAATACCTACCACTGTGCTTCAAAAGCACACATTCTCAGATTTGCACAGGGCGCGGAGGGCCGCACAGCATAGGAGTTCTGAGCATTTGCCCCCGGCCTCTCCAACACCCAGTTGAGTCTTCGGAGCTTCGCTGTGCAGGACAATCATCTTACAGTAACCAAAAACCGGTGCCTTTCTACAATCAACTGATCAGGTACCAGCTTATTTGTCCAGGTGCGTAATGCAACGCACATGAAACCGGATAAAGTGGATGTGCGCAGCAGCGCTTCTCCCCGGACCTGGCCGAGTGATCGGTCTGCCGGAGTCAGCAGGTGTTTGCCTAAGCAGGTGCCTTTCCCGGCAATCTTGATGGAGTTCTTGTGTTCCCCAAACAGTGTGGGCACACTGAGGGGTTCTTACGGTAGGGGAAAGGCAGCTGATGCTTAGATCGCTGAAGCGCGCGGCCGTGAACGGCTAATTCGCTGCTATTTACAGTACATTCATGCCTCTCGACATCGTCCATGTGCATTTCGACTGCGCAGGCTCGCTGAATCTGGGTGTCCGCGGCGGGTGCTTCTGGCGACTGCGCTCTCTCTCGTTGTGGTGCCGTGCGCATTTTGGTACATGGTGGTCACTTTTCGTGGCAGGCGCAAGGAAAACCTCGTGTTTTGGTGCTCCAAAGTCGACTTTTCGTGACAGGTGCAAGGGATCGGAGCTGTTTTACTTCGAAATGCAGTTTTTGTGGCAGGTGCAGCACTTTGGACATGGTGGTGATCGTCGAGGAGCTCAGATTTCGTGACAGGTGCAGTGAATCGTGACTTTTGGACATGTGGCTCGTTTGCAGATTTCGTGGCAGACACAGCACTTAGTGAACCTCGAGGTAAAGATTTCGTGGGCACAGCACTTGGTGAACCTCGAAGTGCAGATTTCGTGGCAGGCGCAGCACTCTGTCTGTGAGCCTCGATGTGCAGATTTCGTGGCAGGTGCAGCACCTGGCGAACCTCGAGGTGCAGATTTCGTGGCAGGCACAGCGCATGGTGAACCTCGAAGTGCAGATCGTGACAGGCACAGCACTTGGTGAACCTCGAAGTGCAGATTTTGAGGCAGGCGCAGCCACTTCTCACTCTACACTCACACCCACTCACCCTCCCACTTGCAGACTCACTCACACTCGCGCTCACACTCACAGTCACACGCGCACTCACTCACCCACGCACTCTCAGTCTCACACTCACTCTCACTCGCACTCACACTCACTCACTCTTACCCACACTTACTCGCGCCCACCTTCACTATCACCCACCTTCACTCTCACTCACGCTCACTCACACTCACTCTCACTCTCACTCTCACTCTCACTCTCACTCTCACTCTC